TTTTTATTATATAAAGGGTTGGTTGTTAAATTTTTCCAAGGATATTTTGGGTAGTTTCAAATTTCTAAAAAAGTCAAAGGTCAATTTGGAAAATGTTATATACTATTTGGGTCATTTTCATGTATATCCCAAAATGATTTTTGAGATTTTTCATTCCACACGCTTCTTCCAACGCAAACCCTAGCATGGACTCTCCTATGTTTTTCACATCTCCAATCTTCCAAAGCTATCTATAAGGTGTCATCTCCAAATGAATCTCTCCTCTTCTAGATAAGCCGAACACAGTCACTCAGAAGGCCTCAAGTACTCTATCGTTGGGCTCGCATATGAACAGGCGCTTCATTTCCTTGCTTCGACGAACTACCGTGGGGATTTGGCTCTAAAGCCATCGTCCTTGAAGCAAGTCAAGGAATACTGTTATCTGTACAGCCTTCTCGAGCTGCAGAGCTCTTTTCATACTTGGTTGAGCTTCAGACTTTCCCTGAAACACTCTTTCGTAAATACCTCATCGACTAAGTTATTTTTACTCGAAATAGAGAATAATCTCCAATTTTGGTAGTTTTGAAATTATTTATTTTTTGGCTCTATTTTATCTTTTGCGATTTGTTTGGTTAATAATGTATTAAACAAGATTGTATTCCTTAATTTAGTCAGATAAATTAACAAATTACTTAAATTGGGTTATGTTATTTTTCATAATTTTTTGATGAATAAAAGAGTTGCCTTTTCAAACATTCTCTACAGCTGAGCTTCATGTCAAATTAAAGGAATGCCTTCTGGTTTTTGTGAACAAGATCTTGTAATTGTTGAATGAACAAAAAGATTCAACCTTGACAATTGATTTTCTGCTAAATGTTTAACTTATTGGTAATAACACAAGGGAATATGAGTTGTCGGTAATAATATATGCAAACTGGTTTGGCTGCCACTAAAGATTAATCTTCTTTTTAAAGTAGAAATTACTTTATGTTTTGAAAAAGAAAATTAACTATAAAAATATTTGATTCTTTGTATGCGTGTCTGATTGACCGTTTACTATGAAAGAGGATGACACAAACTATACGTGTTAAAAAAACCAAATTATATGTGAGTTCAGAGATACTATTTTTAAGGTTTCAATGAAAGAGTGTATGACTCAAACTATATGTGCAAACTCAAATTATGCAGTGAAGCACGTACACTGTTTGACTGTCTTCCTAACTCAAAATGTGGGTGTTTGTTACGAAATATGAGAAAATTGCCAATATTTGTATAGTTTTGTCTAACTTGGTCTTAACATTGTATGATGTTATTGTCTTCTCTTAGGAGATTTGGATGCCTCATCTGCCCAGGATAAAATTGGATAGAATGGCAACTCTAAAAATCATACTGGTTACCCAATTTACCATCATCTTCAATTGGATTCCATCAGTTTTCTTCAAAAATTAGTGCTTTTTGTAGAGAGGACATTATGTGACCACATAAGTATTGTGGAAATTTTTGCTTTTCTTTGTACAAGACACGTTAATTTTTATTTTTTTATTTTTTATATAGGTGTACAAGACACGTCATTTGCACCCCTAAAGATCTTGTTTTCAGATTGAAGGGTGGCTATGGTATTGGGGACCATCGATTGGTAATCAGATTACATCACCCTGTGCCACAGTGAATTATTATGTAAATTTCAACCTACCATTTCCTTCTTGATTTTATCAAAGGAAGTTTGGAAGTCTCAGCAAGGAATTTTTTCCCATCGGTTTGTATGTCTTTGACTTCTTTTGCTTTTTAACATATTGATCGTTTTCAATTTCCGTTGCAGGTAGAATGGGGTTATGTAGAATACTATAAATCTTGATTATTATTTGATTTATTGACTATCAAATTTTACTTTTGGACTGCTTTTTGAATAGTGTTGCGCTAATGATCACATTTTTTTTTTGTTGTTAAAGATATGTTGGTTGTCACAAGTTGATTTTATATTGTTCATTTTGGATGCAATTGACAGTTTAGAATTTGTTTACTGGGAAATGGACATTTTGATAACTGGGTTGATTTTGGGGTGGTGACACATGATAGAGAAGCAGATGGACCCAGGTAAAATTTAGCTCTTATTGAAAACAATCAAAATTCCTTTCCATTGAAATTCATATTTGAGGATAAGGAACTTCCCATCTCCACTAGAGAAATCAGAATGAGAGATAGAACTTGAATCTCTTTTTTGTGATTCAAATTCTTTCTTGATTTGATTTCAGGTACATCAATAGTTTCAATTTAAATTGTAGTGATATTAGTATTATTAAATATTTTCTTTTGTGTGTTTCTTTCTAAATTTATTTTGCAATAGTAGTAAGAATTTTGTTATCACTTGAGTATATGCATTACTATGTACAATTTGGACTACCACTTTCTAATCAAACATTTGGTTCATTTTGCATAAACTTGAAGAGATATAGTCAGAAATTATCTTTGAAAATTATTTATCTTTGGATGTTAATAATTATTTTACTTGATAAAAATTAAAAACTCATCTTAGTATATTAGTTATCTACGAAGTGCTAAATGTCTAAGTAATTTTCTTCCTCCTTGACTCAGTCTTCCCAGCCTAATCAACATGCAAAAAGGATTTTTCTCAAGAAGTGTTTTTCCTTCTACATACCTTGTAGGAATGTTCGATATCCTGACATTAGGCTAGAATCCATTTCATTGTTAGGAAAACTTTTGTATATGAAGATGTGATAGTGTGTTTATGATTTTGGGTTAAATTGATATATGTGTTGTTTCATTTCAATGAATGATGGTTGCAAGTTTTTTTGTTTATTATTTTTATTTTGGTGCAGAAAATGGACAAGGGACAGTGACCAAAGGTGCAATCATTGTAGCTGAGAAAGGAGTTTCTCTGTGTCGTTGATATACAACTTATGTCTTTTTTTTGTATGTTCACCTATTAGTGATTTGCAACAGTGAAATTGTAATACAAGTTTGTAAAGCTATTCTTTGTTAACACTAAATTCTTAGAGCATATTGATATGTGTCAGACAAGTATTGAGTTTCAAGAATATTAGTGGTTGATCCTCTTTGGAAAGTTATTCTATAAATGAATATTTGAAATTAAGTTTTGGTCCAAGTGACAAAACAGAATTTGAAGAACTACTTCCTTCCTAGAAATGTAATCCATCATTCAAGGAATAACTTGTTACTAGAATAATACCGTTCTTTTCTGTATGATTGTTGAAAGGTTTTTGTGTATATGTCTCATTTTGGAAACAAGAAATCTATGCTTTACATCTTTTCACTGGACCCCGATGATTATTTATAGTTGCTTTATGCAAATATTTGTTAACATTGTTCTAATGCACGCGTTCATGCCTTTGTAACTTGATATTCAAGTAGGTAGTGTGATTTCTTTCAAACCTAACCTTTGAACAAGTGCAATTTTCACGTTGGGATCCCATTTATCAACTTGGTTGACAAGGAGAAAGAAGATTTTAGAGAGGTGTTTTGTATATTTATAAACTTTTCTTACAATCGATTCGAATGTCTGTTTGATATTTTTAATTTCTTTTTCATTTTCTTAGATCCCTCAATTTATTTCAATCCTACTGGATCTAGGTCATTGTTTTGGTTTCTTCCAATTGTTCGGCTTGAATGTGTTCGACTTATACATTTACACGTAATTTGTATTTATCTATTCTTTGTATGCATATTTTAGGTATTAAAGTTTAGGGTAATTAGCACAAAACATCCATACTTTTCGATATTTTTGTGGAAAACGTCCATACCTTTCATTTTTTGGTGGATTACACCCTTACCTTTACATTTTTTTGCGCAAAACGTCTTTCTGTCAACTTTCCGTTAAAATGCTCCGTTAAATCAAAAAGGTAATTAGCATAAAAGGTCCCTACCTTTCAAAGTTATTGTGCAAAACGTCCCTACCTTTTATTTTTTAGCATAATTAGCATAAAAGGTCCCTATCTTTCAATATTATTGTGCAAAATGTCCCTATCTTTCATTTTTAGCATTTTTACCCCTACATTTCACCTTTCATTGCGCAAAATATCCTTTTCGTCCATTTTTTCAATAAAATGACGATTTTACCGTTCTATTGAAATAAAACAAAAAGAAAAGAAAAAATAATTAATTAATTGCAATCATAGTTCTAAATCTTTCAAAACATTACAGATAAATCTTAAATTCTCCACTACCGCCACTTTCACAACCCCACCAAGCCACCACCTATAGATCCATATAGCACCACTTTTCGACCACAACACATAGGACTCCACCACCACCAGCGTCGCCTCACTCTCCCCAATATCCTCCTCCATAGTATTGATCACCAATCTGTCCGAAACAACCACATTTACGGTGGTGGAGTCCGATGGGCATGGTGGCCGAAAGGTGGTATTATGTGGATTTATAGTTGGCAGCTTGATAGGTTGTGAAAATGGTGGTGGTTGAGAATTTATGATTTTTTGTAATTTTTTAAAAATTTAAGGATTATGGTTGCAGTTGGTAATTCATCTTTTCTTTTTGTTTTATTTGAATAGGAGGGTAAAATTGTCATTTTATTGAAAAAATGGATAAGAATGACCTTTTTTGCAATGAAAAGTGAAAGATAGGGGTGAAAATGCTAAAAATGAAAGGTAGGGACGTTTTGCACAATAATATTGAAAGGTAGGGACCTTTTCTGCTAATTATGCTAAAAAATAAAAGGTAGGGACGTTTTTCACAATAACTTTGAAAGGTAGGGACCTTTTGTGCTAATTACCTTTTTGATTTAACGGAACATTTTAACGGAGAGTTGACAGAAGGACGTTTTGCGCAAAAAAATGTAAAGGTAAGGGTGTAATCCACCAAAAAATGAAAGGTAAGGACTTTTTCCACAAAAACATCGAAAGGTAGGGATGTTTTGTGCTAATTACCCTAAATTTTATTTGCTTTTGCCTTATTCTGTGTTAGATATAAAATATTTTTGATATATATATATATATATATATATTTTATGATCTTTTAATTTCGTATGATTTCGATTTTTATTGATAATTTGTTCTGTTTTGTTACTATATTTACTCTTATTTCGAATTCTTTGTGTTTTGAGGTTTCAATTTTTCATATTCCTTTTCTACCTTTTATAAAGTTGTTTTCACCTTCTAGATTCACGAGTATCTAAACGACTTCATTTAGTTATACTAATTATCTTCAAGATAATGATCTTGTGCTTGGTTTGTTTTTCCTTGATTGTTATGCATCCTTCAATATATGCTTATAGTCCTGAACTCCTCTTTATTTTATTTTCTTTTTTCTTTTTATTGTTGGATTGTTGACCTTAAAATGTGTTCATCAATTCAACTAAGGTGGTTAAGGTGGATATCATTTGTTCTTGATGCTTGAAACATTAGGTGATAGTTCCGAGATTGTTATTGGCCTTGTTGGTCACCTGCATCTCAAGAGGTTTTCACATCATTTTAAGGATATTGTAGTTTTCTTATTTTGTTCAGAATTTTGTGCCTGACATTTCTTGTTTTCTCTTAACTTGATTGATCAAACACGGCTGAAAATAATCACAATGTAGTGGTTAAAGAGCTTCTGCTAAACTGTTTGCAGCCTTGATAATAAACACATTAGTAGAAAGTAGGGAAATTAATTACAGCAAGAATTTTATTACTTAGAAGTAAAAATACAAAGATGGCATCATAATGCAATTATCATTTTCGTGGAAGATGTAATGATCGAACAACTGAGCAAATGTTTGGCTTTGACAAAAAATAACATCTCAAACTGATTTGTTTATCAAGCATTTACAAGATTTTGATATCTCATTGAGTTTCCTATATTTCTATATTTCTAATTAGTCCATTCTTCTTTTGTGAGAAAAAAAAGATTGATTTACCTCTTGACTTGACAAGTATAGAGATATATTGCTGGGAATCCTTGTTTCAAGTTACTTTTAAGATTTTCTTTTGGCCACAATGGTATGTTTCTTAATACTTGCTTATATAATAAATTCACATAGTAACATAAGCAAAACCTGATATTACTTTTTATCTAAGATTATACTTCTTTTGCTTTGAGCTCCATAACTCATGTGACAAGTATTATCTTGATCGATATGTAATATGTATTATTTATCTTTCAAAAAAAAAATATGTAATATGTATTATTTATCTTATGAACTAATTTAATATGGAGTTTTCATTTCATAAATATGGGAATTTATTCCATCTATTGACTATTGTATTGTTGCAGACAATTGAAAGCTCTTTTCATGGGATTTTTTGCAAGGATAACTCAAACATTCTTCGACCTGAAGGAGAATCCGCGTAGATGATACCTTAAGATCTACAAGAAGACATTAACCACCAAGTCCACCCTCATAGTCCCCTCCAACGATATCTCGTAATTCCATGATCTGTTCAATCAGTTCAACGATATTTTGGAACTCGATATATGTAATTTTCTATGCATGATGGAGGGTAAGTCACCTGTAATCATGCAGGATGGAAATTTTAAGGATGATGAGTTGGAAGTGGTGGAAAGGATGAAGCCAGCTCGTCATTATAAATCTCCTTATTTTGTTACAGAAGATAAGACTAAAAAATGTGTATTGTAAATCTCGTATTTATGGAGGTCTGATTTTTTCTAACTCTTTCTCATCCTTTCTTATGACCTAAATTTTTACTTCAATTCTTCATTTTGTTTGTTTGTAATTGATTCTCATTTGCTATGTCTTGCAGTGATGTAATTTTCCTCGTGTCAAAATGAGATAAATCTATTTCCAAAACCTAACTTCCAGAGATAGTGATTTTGAAAAAAACATTAAATTTACAGAAATGCAAATAAGATGTGTAGTGAGTTGAGCCTGAACAAAAAATGGTTTCACCTTCTCTTAGTCTTAGTCATGGAGTTTTATTGTTGGGGCTTCTAAAACGACTACCGATAGCTAACCTTACATCATCAACAATTTAATGATGAATTGGACAGAACAATGTATGCAAACCTCCAATAATTTCCTTGACTTGGTGCAAGTGTTTTTTTGTCAATATCTTAAGAATTTCAAACTATTCACACAGTTTAGACGTAATCATGTTACTAATAGATTCAACTTTTCTTACATACTTGCCTAAAGTAATCAAACACGTACACTAGATAGTTCTTTAAATATTGGTTTAGAAGATGGTAATTTTTTAAATAGTATGAGCATTCTTCACTTTAAGTTTATTTAACTAACTGCAGGCATAAGTGATAACTATATACCAATGAACATTAGAATTGTAATTTGAGGTTTTTATTCAAATAATAATCATGTTTTGAAAGTAATACTGTTTTTGTTCGTCTTATAAGCCCTTCGTTCTAGCCTCTCTTCGAACAGCTCTGAGAATGACTAGAGGCATCAAAATCAGTAAACTTCACACATGAAAGATATATCTACATCTATTAATTCTACTTACCTAATAAATTTTATTTGCTCATGCTTATTACAATGCTTCCTTGGCACGAAAGGTTTTCCATGGTGTAGTTCTGGCGAGACAACATCAATATAGAATATTAGGATTGTATTATAAGTTTTTACAATGAGTAGCATCACCAAAGAAAACTGTCATTTTCTTTTCTTGCCATTATTATTTGTAGTTTGTTTTGGAGGATTTTGGCATGTTGCTGTTCAATGTGCTCAATCATCTTTGTGTTCTGATGAATCATTACATTTCTTATTTACCGATTCTTGTTGTAACTTTCATTCTTCCGTCCCTGAAATATTTGGCCAATTGTCAATGTCAGTTAATAGGTGGAGTGTATCATTTTCATTCATGTTTCTTTTTCTGTTTATGTTATAATGTTATCCATTAGGGCATAGGACTGGTTTACCATAAATGTGAACATATGCATGCGAACGTGTTACGTTAAGCTCAATGTTTTCTTTCCTCCAATAATCGTATGATGTTATTGATTAGGTATCAGGATTGAGTTATAATGTAAATAATCATATTTGTCCGGACACTTTAGCTATTAGGCAGCTTAAAAGTTGAAAAAGTGGTAAATGAAAAGGCTGTCCAGCTATGACATACTATTGAAATGCCGTTGTGAATGATGAAGATTGTGTTGATGTTGTTGGTG